CTCTCTCTCTCTCTCTCTCTCTCTCTCTCTCTCTCTCTCTCTCTCTCTCTCTCTCTCTCTCTCTCCCACCTCTCTCTTCCCCCCTCTCTCTCTCTGTGTCTGTATCTTATGCTATATATGTTTCATTCGCTGTAGATCATCAGCAGTCAGCACGACATGGCTAATGAGTAATGACATGACTCTTACGGACGGCATCCCCGGCGGAACCTTGTCGGCCGGAGCTTGCAGGATGCTGTTTATCGTCGGCAGGAGGCGCTGATGTAGCATGGGCCGCGCCACTTCGTTCTGCGCGTAAACCTTGAATATGTCCTGGCATAGCGCCGCTATCAATGGATCTGCAAGCGAGAGAAATTAACTCAATGCAAGTACATTGCTCAGGTTTCAACCGATCATGGTTGTCCTTTTTAGGTAGTTTCAAGGTTATGGGTTTTTCTTTATCCTTAGTCAGCATGCCCCACACGCCCACACTCACACACGCATGCACGCAGATAGATGTACTCACACAAGCACACACGCGTGCACTCACGCACACGCATGTGCACATACACATATTATGTACGTATATTTCTGACATACACTGATTATAGAGAACTCACCAGAATTATATTTAAGAAATATAGCTATGGTCAGTGGCACTGCCTTTGCTTCACAAGACGCAGTGAATTCTTTATCCACCTATCAAAATTATGATTAGTACATTAGCCGTGAGTGTTTTCTTTTAGTATAAGAACGTTTTGGTCATTCTACGCAAAAAAATCCATACTCTACATAAAATATATCATGTAACATGTAACATGTAACATTCTACATCACACTCGCTACTTCGGGTTTATAATAAATTAGGTATCGATAATAAATCACTTTTCAACTTACAGAAACAACTATGCAGATCGTCTCTAGGACGAGAGCCAAGACGTCTGCTGAGAACTGGGTTGCCAGGGTAACGAGTCCGTGCATGATCGGTTCGAGATACGGTAAGATTACTTGAGTGCTGTTCAAACTTTTTAGATGCTCGCTGAACCTGCATCACGAAGCAAATAGTAAAAAAGTTACGCACCTGGTGCAAACATCATGGGAGACGAAACGCATCAAGAGGATGTAATCATAATAAATCATCGAGCTTTTATCTAAACATCGATGTTGATAAAAATCGCGATCGTGTCCGAACAGTAAACCGCTAATGACGGAATCTCAATGTTGCCCGTTCGCAATCAACGCACAACGACAAACTTTAAAACTTACTTCACAGGCTAGCATACAGTTAACGATAGCATCTAATAATTATCGTAGAGTAGGTATGAACTCTGTACAGTGCTGTACTGCACAGTACTGTCACCAGCAAATTCCTAATAATTATCGTAGAGTAGGTATGAACTCTGTACAGTGCTGTACTGCACAGTACTGTCACCAGCAAATTCCTAATAATTATCGTAGAGTAGGTATGAACTCTGTACAGTGCTGTACTGCACAGTACTGTCACCAGCAAATTCCTAATAATTATCGTAGAGTAGGTATGAACTCTGTACAGTGCTGTACTGCTCAGTACTGTCACCAGCAAATTCCTAATAATTATCGTAGAGTAGGTATGAACTCTGTACAGTGCTGTAGTGCACAATACTGTCACCAGCAAAGTTCACGATAACAACAAATAATCATCTTAAAGCAAGTATGAACTCTGTACAACACTGTAGTGCACAGTACTGTCGCCAGCAAATATACGTCGAGTGAGTGAATATCGAAACCAACCCGAATACGGCTCGCGCTGCTGAAATTCTCACGCTCGAAGGCTGAGTATCCTGAAGACCTGCCACAGTCGATTGAAGAAACCTGTAAAAAAATATTTCAATTGTCTACGTCACCGTAAATAGTAAAAGTATAAAAAATATTTCCACTTTTTCACAAAATGCAAGTAATTCTGTTCACTTTTTATGGTTAAATTGGTGCATTATACTTCCTATTTTACTATATTGTTCGATGTAAACATACACTCGTGACTCATACATAGCCCATAGCAAGCAATTAATGTCAGGATTATAATATCAAATCGTCCAGGTTTTTTTTATTTTTAACTAGTTGAGAAACAATCTTAATTATCAGGTAAGAATTTGACGATACATTTAGTCCCGTTAGTACTTACTTTTAATGAAAAAAAATTGCAATAAAATTTAACAAAATATACACCAGAAAATTCGTGACGTAGTCAATTTAAGGGTAACGCAACATGTAACGTAAATATCGCTAACCTGAAACACCAAAGACCTGGGTCACTCTCTTTTTTGGTAATAATACATTGAGAAATTCTAGAAATTTAACCCTTTGTCTCACCTTTGCATTACTTCGGCAGGCATGAGCATTGCAAATCTGCTCGCTACCCACAACGCTCGTCCAAGCAGAAATGGCGAGACTGAAACAGATATGAGAAATCTGTCAAAATCCCATTTTCACACAATCGTCAAATTTTCGCAAACCAAAAACTCGCCGACACTCTCGACTACACAAACATTCAAGATTCCAATTGATCTTACTTGACTTTTCTGAACTGTAACCTAACATTTTCAATAAAAGTAAAGATGGTCTACCATTACTGTTTCAGCAAATGTTTGACAGATTCGAATTCTGTGAGAAGCAGCCAAGACCAAGGCAATTCGAAAAAGTCGTACATAAGTACCAGTAAGTTTTCGCCATCAGCTTTATTTTATGATCCCCACGGCCACACGATGGCGCCACTATGTACTATGCAGGATAACGGGAGCAATATTGCCTCGACAACTATGTACTATGTACTATGCAGGATATAATATGCCACTAAGTACTATGCAGGATAATGGGAGTAGTATACGCTCGGCTATTCATACCTGGGGCGTTGAGGTCTGCGAGAACAACGTTCTGTAGAAAGCCGACAACATCGAAGGTGACTGCCTTCTCCTGCAGCTGTTCTATTATGAGATCCTTGACACTGCCGAGTGTGAGCATGCACGCCTCGTGAATCTTCCACCTAAAGTTTTACACACAAGCACACGTTCGCTCAACCGGATTTGCCATACCTCACATTAAATTACCTTACAATTCATCACCAGCACACCATCCATCAGCATTACCATCTAATGCACAAACACACACACACGCACGCACTCACGCATGCATACACGCACACACTCACGCATGCATACACGCACGCACTCACGCATGCATACACGCACGCACTCACGCATGCATACACGCACACACTCACGCATGCATACACGCACGCGCACACACACACACACACTTTAACCTTCTTTACATGACCTCACATTACATTACCCTACCACCGTTCATAACGGTTATGCTACTGCTAATAACCCGTTCAAGACATGCATGGACAGAGTCTCTAACCTGAAGGTGAATCACATCTCACACATAATCTCGATTTAACAAGGAAAGTATGCACCGAGAACCCTTTCCCACAAGTTTCTAATTTTTCACGGTAGACGTAGAAACCCTAACCCCATTGATAGATGCATACGCAATACGTTAAAAGCCACATAGCTCAGGCCTAAAAAAAAGACGTTTGTTTCCGCTAACCCGACCTAGTCCATTTTAAACCGCCGTGTCGAAAACTTTTTATTGTGATCGGCCAAAATTATATTTAAAAACAAAAAATCCCAACGTGATATCGATCAGTGAATGCATTGATTTGACTTTGAAGTCATTATATGGGCTGTTATACAAAACAGTTTTAGTATTGTTGATATACAATAAAAAAAAAATTTGATAAAAAAAAGTTTTGCCTGCTTACCGTGTCCAATTTTTTTCAGCTCGTTAGCAGAAACAAACATCTTTTTTTCTTAGGCTTCATAGAAGAAGGGGGTTTGCTTACATGCTCAAATGTATTTCTGTTTACACTGTGATCACAGTAACCAGCAACCAATACTGCGTGGCTCACCAATAAGGGTGTGTTCCCGAGTTTTTGGTGGTCTCCGCTTCATGTAAATGCCGCATGGTGGCGCTGCAAATGCCAGTCGCTGTGGCGCACTGGAATTCGCTACTCAGAGTCTGCGGAAACGAACACGTCCGTTTAACGACCGACACCTGGATTTTAAAATCTTTCGTTACGACTGATGACTGAAAGTTAATTGCAATGCCGAGTGATTCCTGCATTTTTAGCTCTGCGATATTTCAATCTGCATTGTCTCCTGCCCATGCTTTTCATCCTGCACTCACCATACTACACATGCTGTCGCATACATCCAAATTCTCACACTTAACAATGCAAGTGCAGCACCCACTCACCAGCAGTAGATCCTGTGCTGATATCCTCACAGAGTACGAGAATGTGTCCTCATCTTCGTCTTCAACAAACTGGTCAGGACTGTTGGTCCATAGATGTACCTAGTACAATAACAAGCAATGCACCACTGCAATCTTCTTCTATTCGGATTGTTCTTTCCCCCATCAGCTAGTGCAAATGCTTACCCGGTTAAAACCATAGTGAGAGAAGAATGCTAAAATGATCATCTTTCAAATCCATCAAGAAAAATAATCCAAAAAAATCTAAATCAGTCTAATTGTCACTCGGATCTAATTTGAAATGCACATCAGTGCGCATATCGGTAAAAAGATCGATGCGCGTTAGCCTCACAACATATACTCTGTGTTACACATGTACTGCTGGTTAATTGAGTTAATTAATTGATAATTAATTGAATTGATTTAATGGTTGGTAATTGAGAAATATCCGAAATACCATTTTTACATAAAAATTCTAAATTTGCATTGTCACATAATTAGGTGCTGGAAATTTCAAGAAATTTTTCAGCTTGACCATAGAGATACATCTCATCCATAAATAAAACGTGTGATTGATTCAATCCATTCATCAATAAACGTTTACTCTTCATTACAGCAATACCCATGTAAAAGCTTGAGTATATCCTTACGCATCGCAACGGTCGAGAAAATACGAAAAATGGCTAGGAAAAAAACAAGCGAAATCCTCGCTTTAAGCGATCTTGTTTTATAGCGCTGTTTTGTACTGTATCAATCAGAAAGTTTATTATTTTAACTGCTCAACACTATCGCATCTATTAGATAATTTTTTTCTCCATGAAAAAGACTGTCTTCAGTACATTTTTTTTATAATTGAATGACATGCAATAAATATAATAATAATATATGGTAATTTGTCAACGTTTATAATTACCTCGCAGTCGTCGTCCTGGCCGTCGTCGAGGGACTTTGAAATGTTTGTCTCCATCTGGTTCGACAGCTCGTTAATGATGAGCTTGTACATCTTAACGAGAATCGGCACGACGGTCCATCGGTCGGGCGCTAAAGCAGACGACGAACGTTAAATATGCCAAAAATTCCATTCAAAGCCAGTTAAAAGGCCAGTTAAAAGAACAGTTAAAAATCCAGTTTAATTCGATTGCTTCCGAATACGCCCATGCGAGCGTGCGGGCGGCGAATCGTCACCTCGGTTATTTCGCGTAGCCTCTACGGCGCAATTTTTACTAGCCTGCGGTGGGGATCAAGGTTTTTTGGCATCGAATTTCAATCCAAAGTGCTATCGTCAAAGCGAGTTTTACTTCCTCTCGGTCAAAATATACCGTAATGTATTTCCAAATATGTCTTTCCAGGGGCAAACATAATAATAGGACATTTTCTAGGATTTTTCCCGGAATCCTTCCCAGGACCTGGAAAACTAAGTTTAACATTCCGGGGACCCGTTGCAAAAAGCGTCGCAACTAGCCGCGACATTACTAAGTCTAAAACGTCGTAACCGACAGAGTGAAGTATCAAAGTGAAGTGAAGAGTTACGACATTTCAGGCTCACGACAGCGAAACAACTACGTATGATATTGCCGACGAGCCCTAGGAACTTTCCGGAATTTTTTTGGAATTTTCGAAATTTTTCCGGAATTTTCTAGAATTTTTCCGAATTTCTCAGAATTTTTTCGGGGGACCGGCGCACGCGGATCCTCCCCCTCCTGGCCTCGCCCCCACCTCCGCCTCCACCCCGCCAGCTCGCTCACCCTCGGCGGCGCGTGCACGCGTCTGCACTCCGCTCGGCTGCGCGTAGATCTGGTCCCCCTTCACCTGGATCTCCTGCAGGCGTGCGTCGTTGCTCGTGATACTGTGCTGGATGAGCTTACATAGCGCGATGATGCTGCAACACACATGAAGCGAAGCCAACGTTAACATCACAGCGCGATGATGCTGTAACACACACATGAAGCCAACATTAACATCACAGCGCGATGATGCTGTAACACACACATGAAGCCAACATTAACATCACAGCGTGATGATGCTGTAACACACACCCATGAAGCCAACATTAACATCACAGCACGATGATGCTGTAACACCCATGAAGCCAACGTTAACATCACAGCGCGATGATGCTGCAACACACACATGAAGCCAACATTAACATCACAGCGCGATGATGCTGTAAGACACACACATGAAGCCAACATTAACATCACAGCGCGATGATGCTGTTTATATATGTGCTAACTGAACCAAGAGATCCGTTGAGCTAGCTACTGTCGAGTTCGAATTTTTTTCGTGTATTTTTTTACAATTTCTACTTTGTTCTTAAATCTGTTCAGGATACATGGTGGCGCTCTCGGTCAGTGTTATCCACACCGACTGAAGGATGGTGTTCATGTAGGGTGCCATCTGCTTTGGAAAGTTTTTCACTAGAGCCGTCAGCGCCTGTGAACAGATACGAGAATGAGTAAGCACCTACTATGTCTATCTTCGATTTACCTACAGATGGGCGTAGAGTCTTCTGTGCCTGAAAACAGATACGAGAATGAGTAAGAACGTGCTATGTATATCTTCGATTTATCTATAGATGGGCATAGAGTCTTCAGTGGTTGGAAACAGATAGGAGAACGAGTAAGCTCCTACTACATATACCTTCGATTTATCTATAGACATTGGTAGTTTACACTAAGTAACTTAGTAGCGTCTACCTTGAGTACTTCCATCTTCAAGCCGCTGTCCGAAGTGGCACTATCCGGCACTTGGAGTGACTGCACAAAGGCCTCAGTGAATTGTGGCAGGAACGGATAAATCAGGCCTTTCACTCTCTAGAAAAAATTCAACAGATGCAGCACATGTGATATAACATCAACACGTAACTGGCTAATGTGGACAAAAGCTACGAGCAGGGTTGCATTTCGTCACCAATTTTGCGTGTCCTTCTTCGAAAACTACAGTAGAGCCTGAGCTAATCTATCTTACCTTGTCCATGTCCTCCATATCCGCAATCATACTCGCACACGTAGTAAAGATAACGACCGCCCTTGATCGTGTCCTTATACTGTAGGCCTGAAACATGATTGACAGCACCTGTCAGGTCCTAGCTCTTACACCAGGAGTGTCATAATAGAGACAATATGTCTATATATATTTCTATATATAGTTTATATTATGACACTCCTTCTTAGTCAGTATTGACCATTGCAGTGATCAAATTCTCACGCATTATGCGCGGTCTCCTGCTAACCCCACAATAGATCAATGAACACATACGTCCGCACGTGTGAATATCTTGTACATTTCTGGCAGTATCACGGGAGTTATTTGTGGCACCTGGTTAACTCCAGTGACCTCTCTCATGAACTCTGAAAAATGAAACAAATGAAACGAGAGACCATTCTTGTAAATATGTCGAGGAATTACTTAATTTGCTGCCTGAATCCTCATCGCACATAATATTAAATATGAAGCATGAAAATTTGTAGATTAACTTCTATTCCTTAAAGCAGGTGTTTGCAACTGCATGGACACACTTTTTACAACCTCTGTGTATAGTAGCAAAATATTGCATAAAAAGTGCATATCTAGTTTTTCAAATAATAAATTTTCTACAATGACGCTCAGCGAAATAGTACATATAAAGCTCAAGTACTACTAAGACGGTTATAGAAAAATCATAGAATTAATCATATTTAATATATCGATCATTACGATCATCCAGTAAACGTCAATGCTTGATACCCCCGTCACACCATGGCCCCGATCTCACGACGCTCATACTACGCTCTAAGAGCATGGTGGAAACGTGTAGAATGCAGTATGAACGTCTATGGTCGTACTGCGATCGCGATCGAGCGCGGTGCAGTCACCATGAGCGTGGAGAGCATGGCCAAACTCGAGAGGAGGTCAATTTCGTGTCCTATGGTGCCAGAAAAATGGCATGCCATTGCCGAAGATTTCCTGAGTAAATGGAATGTGCCCCATGCCTGCGGTGCCATCGACGGAAAACATGTGGCCATCAGATGCCCACCGAACTCTGGCTCATTGTATCATACCTATAAGGGCTTCTTTTCCGTGGTGCTCATGGCTTTGGTGGATGCCTTGGTATTTATGTGGTCATTGCCAGCGCAGTCAGCGCCTGACTAGAGCGTGATTAAGTCACACTAGGAGCGTGACTGGCGCGCAGTTGAGGCGCTGTGAGTGTTGCTTAGGCACAGTGCAAGCGTCGTTCGAACGCAATGCGATCTGATTGGTCGCAATAAAGACGCAGTGAGCGCAGTGCAAGGGTGATGCGGGCGTGTGTTGAGCGTGGTATGGAGCATGGTGAAAGCTTGTTGGGCGCAATGAGATCGGGGTAAAGACGCACTTAGATCGTAGTATCGACGTAATTAGATCGTAGTATCGGCGCTAGGCCCGGCTGGGGCCCAATTGACCACGCTCTCACCATGCTCGGGCAAATTTTTTGAGCGTGGGGTGATCGTGATGAGCGTAGCTCTAGTGTGACGGGGCCTTAAGAGACGTTACAGCTTACCCGTGAGAACACGCATGGTTCCGTGTACAGCATTCTGATCTCCTGTCGTTAGAGTGTGCATTAGCTGCTGGAACAGCTCCGGCCAAGCGTCAGGCCAGTCCCAATGTGCGATGGCAGAGATGGCGTATGCGACACTAGAACGAACTTTGCTGATCGACTCGGTCAGACCAACCGGTATCATGTGACGAATCGCTGCTTTTGCCTAGGAGATTAAAATGCCACGACTGATGAGTGATGAAATTGAATGTAATTATTATAGTGATGTCAAGAGAATTAATTTGATCAATGATATTGGTTATTTTAATCTTGATTATTCTGTACTCACCTGGTCAGTGGTTTCTGGTGCTCTGAATTTCTCGGAGTGCACAGACCAGTGGACTTCAACATATTGTTTGAGAAGGACTGATGACAGCTGTCTGATTGCCAGAGGGCCATTAGGATCCACAGTGAACTCTGACAGGTGCACGCCAAACTCTGCAACAATTTACAGATCAGGCTGAGAAATAACATAACACAGTGTGTTCATGTAATTCAGCTTTGCCTAATAACTCATAGACGGCAGTATCACAATATTCTAGGTTGGCCTTTATAAGTAAAATAAATAAGTCAATATAACTAATAACAACAAGCACGCAGTATACTACTACACTCTACTAAACGCAATGAACTTCATAACACACTGAAGTTGAAGCAGCAGGCAATGCATCATTGCATGATGACGGTGTTTGCGTCGATTTATTGTAATAATAAAGGCGCACAATGTTTTACCTTCAGTGACTTCTAAGGCCTTTATTTGTTCTTCAGCAGCGACTCGAACATTATGATCCGGGGATAATATAGCCGTGAGGGTTTCATAAAGAACCTCTTTTAAAGACCGACTCACGTCTCCTGCAATGGAGCTCGCCATTTTGGATTCTCGTAAAGCGAGAGGCGGCACTTGCTTGTAATGTGAATATATTTTACTACATTTTACTGTTCGTGGCAGAAGTAAGTTATTTTAAACAATATAAACTTACTAGCTGTGTTTTGGCTTAAGCTTTTACAGTTAGTTAAAAAATAAAAATAAAACTATAAAATGTTGGTACACATACGAGACATCCGGCGGAACTGCCAACGTGGTAGCACGGTCGGATGGTGTCTTGAAGAAATGTTCTATTCACACCCGGCTTTCTAAAATCTTTTTGATCGACCGTACAGTTAAACATGAAATTTCTATTTTTGTTCGTTTTTTCCATTGCGGTACTTTTATCGCTATGTTGGACTGCAAATCAAGACCAAATCGTTGATAGTTTGGTGATCTCAAAGGTCGACAGAGACATCGATTTGACAAGTCAGTTGGTCAAGATTAGCCACACAATTTCGTTGGAAAATAATGGCAAGACGGGCGTCAGGTCTTTCCTGTTTGCAGTGGAACCTTCCTCTGGCAACCACCTGTCGTTTATCGGAGCAATGGTAATGTTGTTTGTTAGAATTTGCATAGTTTCCCTTCATTAACCGGCTTCTCTAAGTATAGTACTTAGGCGTCAAAAAATGATTTCTGCACTGCTACAAAAATGTTGCTATGCTGTCTAAAACGCATCTGCTTATTTGTAGCTCATCTGACGTAGTCAGAAGCAGCTTGTAAGTTGTAGAATCGCATGATCGTGCGTGCGTGCGTTCGTCAACAGTTTGGCACAAATCTTAACCGCTCGACGTACGGTCACGATATTCGGGACGTCGGGGGGGGGGGTCGTGAAAAGAACTCAGGATGACAAATTTGGGGGTCAAAGGTCAAGATGTGTAAACGGAGGGAATATTTCCCCCTTAACTTAAGGTATAGGAGGAAATACGGAATTGCGGCACAAATCTTAACGGCTCGACCTATGCTCTTAATATTCGTTATATAGTGTGATGGGCAGGAAACCCATCACCAGTGCGAAATTGGAGGCGACAGGTCAAAGGGCAGGGGGGAAAGGTCAGATATCAGACATTTTTTGAGGACATGGCCTAATGGACAGAGTGGAAAACTTTTGTTTCAGCGCTGACCTACCATTTTTATCACTTTATTGAAAGGACCATGAAATGTGCTTCCCATTGACGTGCGAAGAGTAAGTGTCTGATAACCTTTTGACCCTCAAGAGGAGGGTTAAACATGGATTCCTGAACTGCCTCAATGACGTCACAGTGTTGTCATATTCATGGCACATCCATAATCTAGAAACCCAATAAGCCTGGATAGCCGAACACGTACAGCACAGGCGTTATGGCTCAAAGGACGTTTGATCGAATCTTATCTGATTTTAGACAGACACACACGATCTCCGGGATGGCAAAGAGACGAGGGGGAGAAAGAAAGAAGCGAGGAGAGAGAGAGAGTGATGCCAGTCGACTCATGAAGGGACTAGGATGGGGTACATCGAGGTGTCCACACTGGGGCAACATCGGGCGCGTCGGAGGAGGAACCGTGGAGATTCGGCGCACATGGGGGGGCGCGGGGGGGGGAAAGCCAGGGCGACCTCGTTGAAAAGGGCCCGTTCTCCCCTTGAGGGCGGGCGCTAGGCGGTCGGGAGAGAGGCGAAGAGCGAGTAGGCCAAGAAGGACAACGAGCGGCTTCAACGTCCGTGTGGTCGTATCAAGGTACGCGGGGAGGATGGGGTCGTGGGCAGCGGGCGGTCTGTCGCGGTCTGCGATGAGAGAGGAGGGAGAGAAGAGAGAAAGAGAGAGTGTTGTGTGTGAGTGATTGGATGGCAGAATGTATGAATGGAGGGGTGGATCTTGGAAGAGAGAGAAGAAGGAGCAGTGTGGTGGCGAGAGAGAGAGGCAGAAGAGAGTGAGTGAGACACAGAGAGAGAGAGAGAGAGAGAGGGTGAGCGTGTGAGAGAGAGGGTCTGAGAGCACCGTGCTCGACTCCTGATATACGACAGTTTTTGTGGTATGCTGGTCTGGGCCGGGCAGTCTCGCGAGTGGAGGAGATAGATTTGCGAGAGAGAGCTAGGGACAGGGAGTGGCGGCGATGCGAAGGGGTGACCCCTAGCGGTCAGAAAGACGCTAAGGGACATGCCACGCTGCAAGAGCGGCGCCCATGGAATGACGGCGCTTAAGATGCTGAGAGAAGCCTTACGCCTTTCCGGGCAATCGTATTTGTGTAAATATAGAATGCCGCTGACTGATAGTAACTATGAGATTGAAGGCCAAGTGAGCGTGGGGTGAGCCGTGAAAAATTATAGAGCGCAGGAAACAGAAACACAATTGTGCGGAAGCAGACTCACGTTGCGCAGTAAGTGCGCACCTTCACGCTGCTCCTCTGCGTTGATTTGCGATGCAGTGACCGTCCGTTTAATACCGGCTCCTTGCCAGTGAGTTCTAAGTGTGGTGGGACCGACGAATTGGGATAATGCGGTGTGGAAGGTTCGTAGCATCGCCCGTAGAACCCCCCCCGGCTCACCCCTGGAATCACAGTTTTGCGACCATCCACAGCGTCAACCTCCCGGCCGTCCCAACGCGTGAGTCGCTCCCGTGTCGTCTTCGTCACTATCCCACCGTCGATGGCTAACACCCGGGGTCTTCTCGCACGCAGGACAGCTGCGTGCCCTGCGGCGTGCGTGTTCATCAGGCACGAGATCGGGAGCGAGTCGGGGTGCTGTTTTGTTTTAAGCAATAAACGCTTCAGTGCAGAGAAGTCGGCACGTTGTCGTACTTACCCGGTGCGGGGACGACGGAGGATCGGGCAACATACGTCGGAGGACGGACGGTTCAGCCGCGTGCGGCCCCGCAGGGAAGCGTCGTTACGCTCCGGTGTAGAGGTGGATGCTTGCGGCCCGGGCTTGCTGCCGCGCTGTTCGGCGGCGACTGGAAGAGCCACAAGTCACAGTGACGGGCTACCAACACTGCCGAGCGCTGACGAGTATCCGCCTGTTCTCGAACCGAAGGTAGGTAATGAGCGAACAATGGCTGCTGAGGTAGGGTAGGGTAGTGTTGGGTTAAGTGAAGTAAATGTAGGTGAGTGAGTCGTATGGCTTTCGTATAATCAGGAGTAGGTGTTGGTAACGGAGGCAGATGCCGGTAGAGTTAGGGTGGAGTACGAGGGTAGTGGATAGGTAGGGGTGGTTGTAACAGAGGGAGGTGGAGTAGTAGGGTGTGTAACGAGGTAAGGTGGAGTAGGTAGGGTGTGTAAGCGAGGACGGTGCTGTAGGGTAGGGTGAGCTGTAGCTGGAATAGTGTTAGGTGGCAATATGGTAGAGGTGGGTTAAAGGCGAGGGTAGATGGAGTAGGTAGGTGGGTAACGAGGGTAGGTTGGAGTAGGTAAAGGGTGTGTAACGAGGGTAGGGGTGGAGTTAGGTTAGGGTGGTGTAAGCGAGGGTAGGTGGAGTAGGGTAGGGTGTGTACGAGGACAGGATGCTGGGTAGGTAGGGTGGGTAATCGAGGACAGGGTGGCTGTGGAGTGGCGTGGTGTAGTGAGTAAGTGTGAGGTGCAATGGTAAGGGTGGGGTAACGAGGGTAGATGGAGTAGGTAGGCCGTGTGTAATGAGGGTAGGTGGAGTAGGTAGGGGTGTGTAAACGACAGGTAGGCTGAGTGGTAGGGTGTGTGTAAGCGAGGAGTGAAGTATGTAGGGTGGGTAAACGAGGGTAGATGGAAGTAGAGTAGGTTTGGGTAACGAGGGTTGAGCATGGAGGTATGTGAGCAGTAGGGTGGGGGTAAACGGGAAGGTAGTGTGCTAGAAGGTAGGAGTGGGTGTAGTGAGTAGTGTAGAGTGCAATAGGTAGGGTGGGCTAACGAGGGTAATGGTAAGTAGGTAGGGTGGGTACGAGGGTAGGTGAGTAGGGTAGGTGGGTAACGAGGGGTAGGTGCTGTAGGTATGGACGTGGGGAAACGAGGGTAGGTAGAGGTAGGTAGGGTGGGTCAACGAGGGTAGGTGAAGAGGTAGGGTGGGTAACGAGGGTAAGTGGGGTATGGGTAGGTATCGGGTAACGAGGGTAGGTGCAATAGGTAGGGGTGGGTAACGAGGGTAGGGTAGAGTAGGTAGGGGGGTAACGAGTAGGTGGAGTAGGTAGGGTGGGTAACGAGGTAGGTTGCTGTAGGTAGGGTGGGTAACGAAGACGAGGTGTGTAGGTAGGGTGGGTGTAGTAGAGCTAGTGGTAGGGTGAGTAGTGTGGTGCAATAGGGTAGCGGGTGGTGAACGAGAACAGGTGGGCTGTAGGTAGGGTGTGTAAGCGAGGGTGGGTGGAGCTAAGGGGTAGGTGGGTACACGAAGGCTAGGTGGAATAGGTAGGCTAGGGCAGCAAGGCTTGGCGCAGTAGGTAGGAGTGGGTGTAGTGAGTAGTGTACGATGCAGTAATTGTAGGCTTAAGTAACTAGGTAGTGGGCAGTAGCTAGGCTGAGTAACAAGGCATAGATTATCTTGTGACCAGCAATCAACTGCTGGTTTCGAACTCAATTGCTGAAAGCGAGGGCCGAACAAAATACCTAAAGTGGTGCGCACCCAGGGACGTACCCAAGCTTGGGGGGGGGGAGATTTGGGTTTACTTTCTTGTTCCTTTTTCGGTCTCAGAAACTTCTAGTTTTGATGGCCGATGAAGCATGTTGTTTCTTGGGACGCAATTTCCAGGCGGAGCCCGTTAGGTGTGTGTGAAAAGGACCGGGTAACGGGATGTTTGCGGCTGAGCGGTGCGACGTGTGCATTGCAGGCATGAGGGTGCCGGTGACA